ACTCTTGAGTTTAGTTCCACTGAGCTAACCAAACCAGGAAGTAACAAGTTGTCTGACAGCCAGGGGGTGTAACAAGATTTATTTACAAAAGTAAAAAATTCTATTTAAATCTACACTTTTTGAAAATGGAAAAAAAAAAACATTCTTCACACATAAATCACTTCAGCAGTCTAAAGTGCATTAGGAGTCTGGAATTTAAAATCACAAACTATATATATGTAATGTGCTGTTCCTTAAGTATATATAAATTTAAAGAAACACTGTTTTTTATTAAAATTAAACTCTCTTTGAAAGTGTATACACAGTATACCCATTTTTTTACCTTTATCTAAATATTTTATTAAATATGCCTGAATGTCTTTAGTAGTCACTTTTCTATAACATTCTTTACAGTAGTCTGTAGTGTTAAGGGCCACTATACCACCACCTTTGTCTACAAGTTTTATGTTAAAAGCATCATTTAAATTACCTGGACCATATTCTCTCTTATTTTCCAATTTCTCAAAATCTTCCAGAGCTAGTTGTTCAAACATATTAATTGCACTTGTCCTATAAGATTTTCTTATAAATAGTAGATCTATTTTTCAGTGGAGTATGGTTTGGCGCATTAAGAATGTCTAAATCTACATAATATAAAAGAGTAAATGAGCATGTTAATGATATTAGAATATTGCACCAACAACATTTGTGTATCGGTTCATTTTACAAATTACCTTAATGGGTTATTTTTTTAAGAATACAAACTGTTAAAAAAAAAAAAAAGAATCTTGGAGAGGGGGTAACTATATTTATAATATAGGTAGAGAAGAAATGAAGTGGGTTCATTTATTACATACATTGGTACCACATACCACTTTAAATATTGAGTTTGATTTATTTAATTTTTTTATATATATTAAAACATTTTAGGAATGAATTATTACATGTATTTGTTTTTATTAGTTGATATTATGAATCAGTGTTGTATGGAATGGCTACAAAGAAAAATATAAAAAATATAGTCAAAAGAGACAAAGATTTAAAAAAAGAAGATAAGAGCGTTTTAGTTAGATTTTTTTTAATATCAAATAATGAGAAACTAACCAATACTTTCCAAGAGGAGATCAGCTTCCTAGAAGATGAAAGTTTATCTCAAATTATAAACAAATAAGGACACTGAGACCAAAACAAATTTGATAACTGTGAATATATTGCAGAAATGCTAGGATTCTCGTTTAGAATTATAAAACAAGAGACTGCAAAAAAAAAAAAAAAATTGAAATTTTTTTTTAATTCATTTTTGACATATAAAGGATACAGAAAAAACGAAGGGGGATAAGGTTTACCTTCACTCACTATACATGACATATAGTATACAAATCACCTCCCCATATTTCCCACGTTAAAATGAAAACAATCAACCTATGTTATACGTGGGATTTTAACTTTTTATTTTATAATGTATTAATTTTGGTGAGTTACTATATGACACTAATATTATCTGTATTCAAAAGGTCAAATTACATCTTGGTCACATAAATCTGTCTTGTAGGCACATGCCATGAATAGAACGCCCGCTAAAAAACAAAAGTGAAGTGAAAAGAAAGAAGGGAAAAAAAAGGGGGGAGGGGGAAGGGTCTATTGTATTATGTATTAAATGTTAAATCTCTGCACTGAGATACTCTGTTATTTAAATTATTTAAGTTTCTTTCCACCACTTTTAACTCCTCACTGAAAGAGGCTTGATAAGGGGGCTGTTTGAAGATTCATCTGCCATTTGTCGGCTACTTTAGGGCTTAATTTCCCTACTTTTGTTTGGTTCCACATGATAAGTTCATAATCTACTATAGTAGACATTAATTTCTTGATTTCTTGTAAAGATGGCACATTTGAAGATTTCCAGTTTCTGGCTATTAGTATTGCTGTTGTTGATAGGAGTAGAAAAATTATTTTCCGTGAAACTTTATCTGTGGTTTCTGATAAAGCTTTAAGAAGTATCATTTTAGGAGTATGTTCAATCTTGTGAGATGTAATTTCTTGAACCAGTGATACTATATCTTTTCAAAGAGTATTTACCTTCTCACATGACCACCACATATGCATCAAATTACCTTTATGCGAATGGCACCTCCAACAAATATTGTATGATAGATATGATAGAGATTAAAGAGAAATTAACACATTTGAAATTGCAAATAAATTATCTTCACAATACACTAGAACTCAAAATGTACTAAAACAAGTTGATCTAAAAATGGCAATCAATCACGCAAGACAGATTGTATGACTTCCTGATTTCTTATTCTAG